GTGTACCGTCAAATCAGATCTGACTGGTACAGGAGGAGATTGTCCCTCCTTCCCCGGCAGAGCATCTGGTGGATTCGAACCGTGCACCTCTGGGAGAAATACAGTCTTAGAGACAGAGATGAAGCTGGATATTGAATTGTATATGTTCAATGATCTGTTCATCACAAATACCTTTTTTAGAAATACAAAAGGCATCTTTACACATGGACCTAACCTGATGGACTTCAAAGGAATTAGACTGACTACATCGCTGGCAAGAAACGTTAGAGAAGCTCAATGTATCAGCAGTCAAATCAGGACAGGTGCTGACTGTGGAACAGACCACTAATTACACAGGTGCACATTCAAACTGAAGCTGAAGAAACTTAAAACAAGTCCACAGGAACCAAAGTACGATCTTGAGTCTGCCAAACCTGAACTTAAAAATCACATCCAAAATAGGTTTGAGGCACTGAACACAAATGATCAAAGATTAGATTAGTCATGCTATGGCATCAATGATATAACTCACGAAGATAGCAAAAGGTTGTTACAAGGACAGAAGAAGAAAAGACCAGAAGAGATGAGAGAGGAAACTCTAAAAATTGCAGTAGAGCACCAAAAAGCCAAAACAAAGCCACAAAATGCTAGTGTAAAAGAGCTGAACAGAAGATTCCTAAGGGCAGCTTGAGAAGATAAAACAAAATATTTTAACTGACTGTGCAACTGGAGTTGGAAATAAAAAGGGAAGTATACATCTGACATTTCTACAGTTGAAAGAATTGGAAAACAAACTCAAGCCTCGAGTTGCCACACTGAGAGGTGCAATGGGCAAAACTGTCAAATTATCTAGGGAGCAACAAAGACGGAAGGAAAATCCAGAAACACTGTACCAAAAAGAACTGATTGGCACTGCAAAACTTCAGGAAATACCCTATGAACAAGAGACAATTGTAATAAAAGAAGTAGTTCAAGTTATACTAAAGGCATTGGCAAAACACAATGCACCAAAAATCAATGGAATACCAATTGACAGGTTTCAAATAACAGCTCTGGATATGCTTACCCATCTATGCCAAGAAATTTTGTTGGAAATTTGGTCAAGAAATTATGCCTGTTATCTGACCGACTGATTGGAAGAGATGTGTGTGTGTGTGTGTGTGTGTGTGTGTGTGTGTGTATGCAGATGGCACAACCCTGCTTGCTGAGACTGAGGAGGACCTGAAGTGCTTGCAGTCGATGAAGGACTGCAGCTTTCAATACGGATTGAAGTTCAACATCAAGAAAACAGATTCTCACCACTGGGCCGATTGGCAGCATCATGATAGATGGTGAGGAGACTGAGATTGTTAACAGCTTTAGTTTGCTTGGCTCCACAAATAACACTTTTGACACCAACAGCCAGAAAATGAGAAGACGAATTGCATTGAGAAAAGTCTGCTGTCAGAGACTTCTCCAAAGTACTAAAGAGCAATGATGTCAGTCTGCAGACTAAGGTGCACTTGATAGAGGCCATGATTTTTGCAATTACTTGCTATGCATCAGAAAGCTAGACAATGACTAGGAATGATAGGAGAATTGATGCCTTTCAGCTGTGGCAATAGAGAATAGTGTAGACTGTATCAGGGACTGCTAGGAGAACAAATTCATTCTGGAGAGGGTGAAACCATGCTGCTCCTTGGAGGCAAGGATTCTGAAGCTTTGTCTGACATACTTTGGACATGTTGCAAGGAAAGACCAATCCTTGAAGAGGGACATCATGCATGGGAGGGTGGAGGGACAAAGCAGGAGAGGAAAACCCTCGATGAGATGGATGGATTCAGTGACTGGGGTTATGGGGGTAGATGTGTTGGAGACAGTAAGATTGGCATAAGACAGAGCAGGGTTTAGGGCTGTTTTACATAGGGTTGCTATGAGTCACAGGTGACTTGACAGCACACAACAACATATATAGTTTTTGTTGTTCCCATACTAAAGAAGGATGATAAGAATGTGGAAATTATAGAACCGTATCATTACAATCACATGTAAGCAAAATATCACTGAAGATCATACAAAACTAACTAGAACAGTATATTGACAGGGAACTGCCAGAAGTTCAAACTGAGCTTAAAGGAGGCAGAGAGTATCAAAAGAATGCTGTTTTGTGTTTTATTGACTATGCAAAGGCATTTGACTGTGTGGAAGATAATAAACTATGGCTAAGACTAGGAAGAATGGGACTCTCAGAACAATTATTATCATATGAAACCTATATCTCAATCAAGAACTTTATCCGAACAGAGCAATGGAACACTGCATTTAAAATCAGGAAAGGTGTGCATCAGGGCTGTATCCTTTTTCCATGCCTGTTCAATCTGTATACTGAACACATTATTCGAGAAGCTGAATATGGCATTAGGATTGGAGGAAGACTCATCAACAACCTTTGTTATAAAGAAGGCACAGCTTGCTTGTTGAAAGTAAGTAGAACTTGTTTGCTCTGTAAGATCAAATACATAGCCTTCAATATGGATTGCACTCAACAACAAGAAGACAAAAGTCCCCAGTACTGGATCATTGGGCAACATCATGACAGATGGAGAAAAGACTGAAATGGTCAATGATTTCATCCTACTTGAATCCACAATCCACTTGGTATCAGCAGTCAGAAGATCAGGAGATGTACTGCACTGGGAAAGTCTGCTGTCAGTGACCTCTCCAAAGGACTGAGAAACAATGATGTCAGTTTGAAGTTATGCCTGATTCAGGCTAAGGTCTTTTCAATCACTTGCTATGTCTCTGAGAGCTGGATAATGACTAAGGATAACAGAAGAATTGATGCCTTTGAATTGTGGCTTCGGAGAAGAGTGTTGACTAGCCCATGGACTGCCAAAAAAACAGACAGACACATCTTGGAAAGAGTGTAGCCAGTATGCTCTCTGGAGGCAAGGATGGTGGGGCTTCATCTCGAATATTCTGGCATATTATTAGGAGAGATTAGTCCTTGGAGAGGGACATCACAATCAGAAAGGTGGAGTGTCAAAGAAAAACAGGAAGATCCTCAATCAAAGGACAAACACTGTATAACATCACTGTAATAAAACAGACTTGGGATTTGGGGTGAAACTAAGAAAACAGGGAATAAATAACACTGCACTAGAAGAGATGAAGAACTATTTAAAACATGATTAGGCATTATTTATATAACAATAGTTCAAAATAAGAGGTATACTGAAAAGTTTACTGGAGAAGGTCGCGGGAAGAAGTTATGCAACAAGAAATTTATTTTTTTCTTTAAAAAGTGAACTGGTGGGAGGTAGGGAGGAAAATGTGCAACAATGAATGAATGAAAATCTAACTTTTCCGTAAACTTTTGCTAAAATCACAAAAAAAAGAAAGAATGGAAGAAAGAAAGGAAGGAAGAAACGGCCACCCATGCAATAAGCAGAGAGAGAAGAACCTTCAAAGTAGAGGAAACAGCCAGGTCAAGGCACTGAGGCTGGAAGTTATTAAGAAGCACTGGGTTTTGCCACTAGCCAAACTCCGAACTTTGAAATTGCCTCCTCTTAAAGCATTATGCTAGTGAAATATTTTAACAATTAGTTATTCAATAATTCTTATTTTTTAACTGGACCCTTAATAATAAACATAAATTTTCCAACTGGAAAAAAATTAGTATTTTAAAAAATTAATTTGGATATAAGCCAAAAAAATAAAGGTCATAGATTAAAATAATAATCAAAACCAACAAACCGAAATGCAAAACCATCACCTCGAGGACTTGAAGAGAGGGGTGATTGTGCAAACTGAAAATGAAAGATTGAAAATCATGTACTATTTTAAACTTAATAAACTTGTCTTTGTGTCAATGTAATTAAATGTTGCCACAAAATAACAGTCTTCAGCTGCTACACAGATGTTGATGCCAAGCTCTGATATTTATTTTCCAGACAGGAGACATTGATCCTACACTAACAGAGTATTACAAAGTTATTTCTATTTTGTGAAGTAACCAAAGTTGATATCATTGTTTGATTTGATGGATGTTTGTTCTGCAAGGGGCCAGCTAGGAGGCAAGTAGATTTTTTTCTCCTACGTGAGGCAAGGATTCTGAGGTTTGTCTGACATACTTTGGGCATGCTGCAAAGAGGGACCAGTCCTTGGAAAGGAACGTCACACTTGGGAGGGTGGAGGGACAGTGCAAGAGAGGAAGACCCTCGAAGAGATAGATTGATTCAGTGACTGGGATAATAAGGATAGGTGTGTCAGAGACAATAAGGTTGGCACAGGCTAGAGCAGGTTTCAGGGCTATTGCACATAGGGTTGTTATGAGTCGCAAGCACATAACAACAACAATGTAACCAATGTTGTGTTTCCTTTTAACATAAAATCAGTAAGGCAAAAATTTATGGATCTTTAAAAAGAAAACTGCGATCCACAAAGGTTAGGAAATCACATGGTTTTACAACCAAGCACAGCTTTAATATTATTTTCAAACCTACCACAATGATCACAACATCCAGACAATTCCAGAAACTCCTGAAATACTGTAGCTTGTGAATGCGAATTTCCAATATCTCTTCCACCACATAGTAAAGTATAAAGAAACAAAAGATAATCTCACAGGCTGCCAGGAAGTAATCAAAAGTTGTTATATATCGGATCAGCTTCACAGGCTGAAATTGCCAGGATGTGATCACACCACCTGTGGCTGGGAATTCAACCAACAACCTGCAATACAATAAGAACCAATTAAAACAGCAAGTGGGTGCAACCAGGAAAAGATATTAATCTATTCTGCCCCTGCATTCTAAGGTAATAAAACTGCCATAAGTCACCCTAAATTAGCTGCAGAATGCTTTGGAATTCCATACTTAGAGAAATCTGTCATCAAAGGAACAAGACTCCCCCCCACGCCCAGATCAAAGGATTACTTCCTCCTCACTCTCCCCTCTACCATTCTGGTATTTAAGCTGCTCATAATGTTACTACATACTTTCTTTTTTTTTAAAAATAAAAAATAAAAAAAAAGAAAGTTTTTTAAGAAGTAGAAGCCAATTAACAAATATGCTTTTCAGGACTTCTAATAAATACAAAGCATACTTGGCAAAACAAAGAGCATAAAGAAAAATCATTCACCCAAAACATGTATGAGGAGCAGATGTACTTTGCATGTATACACACACACACACACACACACACACACAAAGAAGTGACTGTGTCTTTCACTCAGTCATAAGCACTGAATAGTTTATTTACCTTGCTGAGAGGTACCTTCCAGAGGTTAACTGTTAATGCACACTCAAGAAATATCTGGTAGTCTGACATAGTATGTATTTTCCACATTCAAATTGATGGGACTGATTTACCACTTTGAAATGAGAATTTTTCTTTACGGATTTCCACTGAGTATGTGTCAAATAGGATTTCTAGCTCCTTAATTTTAGGTCTTTTTAAGATCTTCCATCAGCTTGGGTTCTCCCATGACTAGGCATGAGCAGCCCAATCTAGATAATGAACATCTAGGGCCCAAACATGTGCAAGAATCAAGACATTAACTATGGCAAATTAGAGCAGGTCGAAGAATTTCTTCTTCCCTATTTTTTGTCTATTCTCTGGAGGGTTTTTTTTTTCTTTTCCAAATGTGAAATGTTGGAAAGTAGGGCCAAGAATCCAAAAAGTCAGCAATACAATCAGAGACAGCAGTTAGCATGAATTCCAAAGAGGAAGGTACTTGCTCTATGTGCAAAGCCTTCACTCTCAGTCCTATTCAGCCCCTGCATCTCTCAACCATTTACAGAAGTACAGAAAACAGTGCTGAGTAATGAAACAATGGCCTTCGTTAACAGTGTACAGGGAGGAAGTGAAAGAAATATTCTAGACCTTTTTCTAGAAATAGATGTTTACTTAAATGTCAATCAGTGTCACCTGCCAATTTTTATGCCCCTGTCTTCACTGGGCCCATGAGAAAAAGTAATAGTTGCAACAGATTTTCATTGACCTCTAGTACTGAGTAGTATGATTTAAGGTGATTTTATTTTATGCAACGGCTTTTAGCAACAAGGATAGGAAAAAGTCAACTAGCCTGGCAAAGCAGACTTGAGTTTCCCTTAAGAAATGATGGCAAAATAAGGATAGCATGAGACTTAATCCGCTTTATCTTTTATGGAAATGCGTACACGTGCACATAATCCATGGTGGTATTATGTGAGTGCGCTACCACATTTAACAGAGGGATTAAAGTGAGTGAATGCTAATCCCCTTTGGGTCTGCTCTGCTATTTCTCTTTCTTAACAGCACTTGCTACCCTTCTGTTATCAGGTGCCGCTAAGTTGCTTTTGACTCATGACACGTTTACCTGGGCAGGGAACTGCCCTACAGGGTTTTTAAGACTATGATCTTTCAGAAACAGACCAGATGGCTTGCCTTCTGAGGTGCCTGGGTGGTCTTGAACCACCATCCTTCTAACTAGCATTCCAGCACTTAACCATTTATGTCTCCCAGGGATGCTCTGTTACTTTCTAACCTAAGAGATGTTTTTAGATTTTGTTTATTATCATCTTCCCTAGTGGAAGACAAGTTTTTCAAGAGTAGAGTTCATTGCTCTGTTCATTCACGTATAAGTCTAGAACAGTCCTGGGAACATCTGAGGTGTCCCATAAATGATTATAGAATGAATGGATGGATGAATAAATGAATGAATGAGGCCTCAGATAAGCCAGTGAGGTGGGACGTCTGTCTTCCACAGAGTGGCCATCATAACAGCATGATAGGACTGTGGGAAGGACTTTCCAGGCCTGTGTTAAGTCTTAAGCATAAGCAGGTACCTGAATATCTCCTCCTATCAGCCACAGCCTATGAGGATCTGTGACAGTGCTAGGCTAACCATCTGGACATCAACTAAGAGTGGGACCCTCGGGGAAATAAGGCAAGATTTAAGGATTGGGGTTCTTAGTGAGAAGCACATAGAACTGACTGTCTTCAAAGTGGTTAAAACTAGAGGCAGAAAAAGACGTTTCTTTCAGAAAGGTTCTGACATGGAAAAAAAAGTGGAACAGACTTTAAGTTCCCTCCATTTCAGTAAATTATAGGCTCTGAATACCTCCCAAACCTAAATATCACTACCCCACCAAACCCTGGGTTTATAGCTCCTCTGTCAGCCCTAATCCTTGGCTTCTCCCTTTAACCAACTGAATGCAGGGGAGGGTTTGCTAGCCTGTCTCTACAACAGGATGTTCAGACAGCCACACAGAAATGGGAGGGCATTGCCCTCAGCACACACCTGGCTACACAGAACAGGTTCACGTTGGCATTGTACACAGAAAAGTCAATGAAGGTGGCCCTGGTCCCTCGGTCCAGCCAGCCATTTCTCTTGAGGCTAGCGATCTGGGAAGCTGTTTCCTCTCTGGTTCTTGACAAATCCAGGTAGTAGCCAGCTCCACTGTAAGTTGTAATCATGCCCCAGTAGCTACTCCCATTCAAATCTTTTTCGCTTGTGTAGATCCAACTAATTGGAAACAAAGTGAAAATAAACAAGTAGAATCAGTCAAAGCACTTAGAGTAACTACAAAGACATCTAGGCCCTGGTAAAGTATGTCATAAATAACTGCAAGTTTTATCAGGCTAGGTAATGAGCCTGTCATGGTGTGTTCCAAGTGCTTATTCATTGATCTCATACAGCTGTTAATCCCATTTCAGGAATGAGAGCCTTGAGGCTTAGTACAGTGAACTTTGTTCCAAAGACTGAACTGTGCACAGCCAGGAATTTACAGCAGGGCTGTGGGTCTCTAAGACAGTGCTCTTAGCACTTAGTTTATTCCCTGGGGTAACTGTTTTCAGATGACTCAAAGTGCCAAAAGCAAAACGCAGCCAAAAAAGGGTGCAGGTTTATAAAGTTCCATTGTCTGTCATTGAATCAAATAAGATCTTACACAATACCTGGGAATTCAATCCACTAGTATTTTCAGAGGGAGCTCTGGTGGCCTAGTGGAAAGAAGTTGCGCTGCAATCTCTACGGCACACAAGTCAAATTCACCGGCTGATCAGGGGAGAAAGATGGGTAATCTCCTCCCATGCTACTGGTTGGTTCTGACTCTATGGTACACCACCAGCACCACCACCACCACTACAACATTTTCAGAGGATAATCTTTGATAGAGGATGGTTCTTCGGCACCAAAAGGGGCATAAAAATGAATCAAGAGCCCTTTCCTCAATTTATAATAAATTGTAAGAGAAAGTTATAATGAAATTAAGTAAAATATGAGGTGGATGATGATAAGAACAACAACAAAAAAAAGATAGAAATTGCACAGCAGTCAAAAAGAGAAGTATCTTTATCTGTTAAGTCTAGCAGTGGGAGAGGTGGGTCAGAGGAGATGCTGGGGAGAAGCTGTAATGGACCAGGGTGAGGGAAGTGTGTAGAATGAGGACTTGCAAGACGGCACTGCAAGCACGCCCAGAAAAGCTGCCCAGTGTTCAAGTTGTCTTTCGTTCCAATTTTAGTATATGTGCTGCCGAAGCGAGCACTCAAGCTGTCTTTCAATGAAGAAAAGGTTGACAAGTGGACTGTGGTCAGACTGTAAAGGGTAAGGATGAAAAAGTCCGCAAAGAGAAAGGATCTTGGAAACACAGAACAGTTTACGCTCCAGTGGGAGCAGGAAGAGGCTGGAATGGTGAGAAGAACAGCCAAGTACAAAACAGAGGTGACACAGCCGGGTAGAGATGGCTGCCTCCAAAAAGGCCTACTTGCAGGATGGACTCAGCTTGGCATTCAGGAACCTGAATGACAACGTTCTACATGGATAGAAAACTTTTCCCAACAGCTTAAGAGTGGTTCACCCTTAAGCCTAAACTATCTGTGCACACACTGAGTGCCCGGTGGAGCATGCCCACATGATCAAGCCCTCAATAAAAAAATGTTGGGTGCTAAGTCTCTAACGAGCTTCGTGGTAGGTAACACTGTCACAAGTTGCTGTCATCCTGTGACCCCACTGGGAGAGGACTCCTGGAAGCTCATGTCTGGTTTCCTCTGGTCGCTGTCCTAAGTCTTCTTCTCTGCTGACTTTGTTTCCACTGTAATAAATCTTAGCTGTAATAAATCTTAGTATGACTGTCTGTGGATTCATGAATCTGGGATGGCCTGAGGAGTCCCTACCATCAAGAAGCTGACATTTTAACAACATAATTAGTAACAAATAACATAGGAGTAATTGGGTTTTGGGATCAGGAAAAAGGATTAAATCCCAACTTGGTCATTTACGAAACTGTGACATCTTGGGTCAACAAGCAGCAATTTTTTTCAGCTATAAAATTGACATTACACTACTTATCCCATAATTGGTGAAGAGTAGATGAGGCAATACATGAAATCACTTACTCTGTAGTGACATTAGAGCAGTGGCTGTATAAATATTTCCTATTAGAGATGCAAAACAAAGAAAAATACTTGAAAAGGTACTAGGGGACCTTTTTGAGAACTAGAAAAAAGGTGAGAAACAAAAATCAGTTATAATTCAACTAATCATGTATTTAGGGTGGGGGTGAGGAAGGCAAAAGTAAACCCTTAAAAGCTAAGAAAGAGCATCAAGTACTCTTATATATATTATTATATAGCATTGTTTTATATTGTTGGATTACTTTGGGAAAAATTTTTTCTTCTTCTTGTTCTATACCATGGAATCAGATCTGACAGGCACAGGAGAGGATTGCCTTTCCTTTTCCGCGGAGCATCAGGTGGATTCAAACTGCTTGCCTTTGGGATTGCAGCACAGCTTCTTGCCACTAGGCCACCAGAGCTCTCTTATTGTTGGATTAATTTTGACTTTGTGGTAAGGAGTTACACTGCCAACCTAAAAGGCACACAGTTCCAATCCACCAGCTACTCCAAGGGAGAGAGATGGGTAATCTCTTCCTGTGTGATTTACAATCTCTGAAAACCCACTGGAGGGTTAGCTATGAGTTGCTTCTGACTCAATGATATGTAAAAATAACATTTTGTACTAGGGAGCTCTAGTAGTACTGTGTGTTGGGAATTGTGTTACTATCACAAAGTAAGCGTGTCTCTGATTGTTTAAATTCACCAATGGCTCTGAAGGAGAAAGGCAGGCAATCTCCTCCAGTGTGATTCACAGTCTGAGAAAACCCACTGGAGGGTCAGCTATGAGTGGGTTCAGACTTGACAGCAGTGAGTTTGAGTTTTATATTGTGTTAGGTTTTTTAATGTAATCTAGAGACGATTTAAAGTATTTAGAGGACGTGTGTAAGTTATACACACCTACTACTCCATTTTAAATAAGGAGATTGAACATTAGTGGATTTTGGTATGGGAAGGAAGTAGTTTTACTCTAGAGTTGTCTGATTGTTCTTAATCAGTTCACTATAGAATCTGAAATTTAAAAGTAGAGTGTGCACTGGTGGGAAACAAAAATTTTGGCATAGAAGAGGTATGTCCCCCTGTGTGAACAAACCTGTGTCCTGCTGTGGGGTTCAGTTCTGCGGATGGGATCTACATGAACCAGTAGAATGAGGTCTGTAAGCTTACAGACAGCTCTGGACCACAGGGACTGACCTTAAAATGCCTGGAAAGTTTCTTCTATATCCTCATAATAGCTACAATTATTTAAAAAATAATGATTACTCTCCCTTAATGTGTAAGATTTTACGTGTGGTTGCTCAAGTGTATACACACACACACACACACACACACACACACACACACACACACACACACAGACACACAAGGGAGCTCTGATGGCCTAGTGGCAAGAAGCTGCACTGCAATCCCAAAGACACGTGGTTCAAGGCCACCAAGTGCTCTGTGGGAGAAGGCTGGGCAATCTCCTGTGCAATTAACTGCCTCTGAAAAACCCGGTGGTGGGTCAGCTTTAGGTCATCTATATTATCTAAGAGAGATAACAACAAGCTTACAGACAGCTCTGGACCACACAGGCTGAAGCCTCCTTATCAGGGGAGAGAGAGAGAGAGGCGGTGAAATCTTGAGCTCTGCTATCATTCTCCTAGTTTGACTCAGTGCTTTCCCACCTGTGTCCCATCCCAGGTCACCTGAGAGCCATAAAACTACGGTTCCCTCCACAGTGAGAGGGACACTGACTACTTCAACCCACTTGAGGACACATGGTGGACCTGGGCCCTGTTCCCTGGGTCTTTGGCTTCCACTCTCACAGTGAGTAAAGGCTTGACGCTAACGTTCTTTGTGACTTAGTGTCCTAACTGGCTTCTCTGACACCCTGTAGTTCAGCTCTCTCTATTCAGCTCAGCTTCTTGACTTGGAGGAAAATATTACTGGGTCTCTGAAAATAAGGTTCAAACGCCTTAAAAGAAATTTCCCAAAGAAGATAATGTCTTTTTGGGGCCCACAATGTAGCCTTTAAAAAAAATATGTAGAATAGAAATGGGGTAAAACAGAAGAGAAAACTTGAGAACCCAAAGGTGTGTGGTTTTGGCCAAGGCCTTTAAACTCAAGCACTGAGGAGTCACTGAAAGCATCATGTCCTCGCAGAAGGAACCAGAGGAGGAGGGATGCATGCTCGTTTATGAGAGAACAGGAGCCGCAGACACTCACGCAGTTCCGTTCCGAGGGCCAAATGGTGCCCGGTCTTCACTGCTGCTGGAGTAGACATCGTAGCACTCTTTGATCTCATCTCTCAAGTCCTGCGGGATGGAGCAGGATCCGTTCCTGACTCTGAGCTGCCGTATGCGTGGTATGCCTAAGAGCAGGTTCTCGTAGTAAATGAAGCTTTGGTTGTCAGTTTCAGTTGAGTTGCTGGGCTGCATCTTCCAGTACAGCCCATCCAGCAAGGGGCCTTCTGTGAACTGAAAGCAAAGGCAACACTTTTTAGAAGGTTCTCAATTGGGAGTCTACCATGGAATGTCTACATAACCGACAGTGTGTTAACTCTGGAATGTGGCAGTGACAAAAATGAACTTTGCTCTGGTTTGGATCTGGCTCCATCATTGCAGCTGTGTGGCCTTGTGCAGAAGTGCCTCTTAGCCAAGTTTTCCCATGTAGAAAATCAATCTCTACAAGCTTACTGCGGCTGGCACAGCATGACACTTGATAAATGCTAACCCTGATTTTTATTCCAGGACCAAAGGCATGAGGAGTATAAATCCAAAGCCATGATCAAGTCCACTTCTCCTTTTTAAGACAGGGAAACTAACATAGTCTAAATTTGTTTAGAGATGAAAAGATTACATTAAGTTTGTTTTTTAAATTTCTGGTGAAAATATGTATCAGTTAGTCAATCAGTGCCATGGATTCAGAACTGACTCATCATAGATCTTTCAGATGCTGGAAATCAGATGGGAAGAGACTGCCCTGCTTTCTCCCTCACAGAAGCTGGTGGATCCAAACCACTTGGCTTTGGGTTGATAGTGCAACGCCTTACCCACTAGACCATCAGAGTTTTTGAAAATATGCATGTTGTTGTTATGTGCCACCAAGTCTAAACCTACTCTGAGCTTACCTTTCGTGTATCCCAGATGATTGCTCGTAAGTACACCAACTGGTATGTGTATCACAGACGGCTGCTCACAAGGACACCAACTGGTGCATTTCAGATGGTTGCTCACAAGCTTTAAAGGCTACTGACACTACTCACTAGATGACATGGTAGAATAGACACTTTGGAAACAGCATGAGCCCACATGACTGGGCAGTCTCATGAAGCCATGGCCCTAAATCTTCAAAGTGAGAGGGTTAATCCTCAAAGAAGTACACGTATACAGAGCAGTAACAGCAACTGAAGTTTCTTTCTTTGCTTCTACTATAAAATTATATATAACACAACATTTGCCATTTCACTGTGCTTGTTGTTTTTGTTTCTAGTGTATAACCTAGCTAATATATTACATTGGTGTATAGCCTAGATAATAGTTTTGATTATCTATCTAGTTTATGGAGCTCTAGTGACAAGAAGCTGCACTGCAATCCCAAAGGTATGTAGTTAAAATCCCCCA